AGCTGCCATGTGGATGCTGGGATTCGAACCCGGGTCTTCTGCAAAAACAATCAGTGTTCTTAACTGCTGAGCCATCTCTCCAGCCCCTCACCCAAGCTTTTATGTCTCCTCTAAGTGTTATATACAAACAGTTAAAGTAGTGAAATAAAATAGGGATAGAAGTAGAAGGCCCTAAACATACAGACCTTAAGTGGCTTAACCTCTCTGAGGCTAGGTTTCTTTGTCTTCAAAATAGAAACCTGGGACTTGTTTGAATGGCTCAGAGGGCAAGGGAGCTTGCCACCAATCCTAATGACCTGAATTTGGTCACATGGTAGAAGGAAAGAACTGATTCCCAAGTCCTCTGACCTACACACACACACTCTCACACACAAACACTCACACTAAATAAATACATAAATGTTAAGTCAGGCATGGCCACATGCCTTTAATCCCAGCACTTGGGAGGCAGAGGCAGGCAGATTTCTGTGAGTTGGAGGCCAGCCTGGTCTACATAATGAGTTCCAGGCGAGCTGGGGCTACAGAGAGACCCTGTCTCAAAAAGACAAAAAAAAAAATACATAAATGTAAAAATAATAAAAATTTCCCAGATGAGGTGCCACACACCTCAGCTTTCAGGAAGTTAAAGTTGGAGGATCATGAGTTGTAAGTCAGCCTGGGCTACACAGTGGATTGAAGACTAGCCCAGGCTACATAGTGAGACCTTATCTTAAAAATAAAGGAGGGCCAGAGAGATGGTTCAGCTGGTAAAAGCACTTGCCACCAAGCCTGATGACCTGAGTTCAATTCGTAGGACCCACATGGAAAAAGGAGAGAACCAACTTCTGCAAAGACTCCACAAGTGCACCATGGCATACACACACCCACATACATGCACACACATGTGCACACACACACACAAATAAATAAAATTTAAAATGTAATAAAAATAAATGAATATAATTTTATTCTGGACATGGTGGCCCATGCCTTTAATCTCAGCACTCAGGAGACAGAGGCAGGCAGATCTCTGTGAATCTAAGGCCAGCCTGATCTACATAGTGAGTTCCAGGCCAGCTGGATACAGGGAGATCCTGTCTCATAAAGACCAAAAAAAAAATGCTACCTGTCTCTCAGACCTTCTCCATATGTATTTTTCCAGTCTGTGAGGCTTGACTATGATCTAACTAGATTCTAGAGGACCAGAGTTCTTGAAATACTTGGTTCCAAAACGCAGACACTGGAGTCTGGTGTAGTGGCTCATGCCTGTAAAATCCAAGCTATAAGGAGGCTGAGGCAGGAAGATCGCCATGAATTTGAGGCCAGTCTAAGCTACAAAGTGAGTTCACAGCTACACAGTAAGACTATCTCAAAAGATAAAACAAAAAACTTCTTGATAATACCTGGATTCAACATGACTTCTCATTCCATTCTGCAGGGTTTTCTCCTCCCCAAATGTATAAAAAAGACAAGACTTCAATTTTACAAAAAATAAACCATGAGAATAACTGAAGTCCTCAAATACAGCTCTGACAGACAACAACACAGTATCCACAGGCCGAATTGCCACAATTCTCACAAGATCCTCCTGGTGCAAATTTATCAAAATATTCATTCAAAAAACTTATTGAGAGGGCTGGAGAGATGGCTCAGCAGTTAAAAGCATGCACTGCTCTTTCAGAGGACCTGAGATCAATTCCCAGCAACCATGTTGGGCAGCTCACAACCAGCTGTAATTCCAGCTCCAGGGGTTCCGATGCCTGTGGCTTCCACAGGCACCTACACACACATGTGCATACCCACACAGAGACATACATTTATGCACATAATTAAAAATTAAAATCTTTTTTAAAAAATTTATTGAGAACCTACTATTTCTAGGTTCTGCCATTCATGCTAGGGATACAGAAATGCACTCAATCTAGTCCTTGCTCTCAAAAAAGTTCACAGATCAGTGGAGAGCTATAGTGTCGTAGACATATAAACAGCATATTGCAGTGTCATAAGTGGTAAAATAAAGATATAAACCAAGGTACTATAATAGCAAGGAAGGGTTATCTTTACATGGAAAATCCAGAAAAGCCTCCCCAAGAAGCTGCAGCTGACACTTAAAAAGATGAAGTGAGTTTACAACATACATAAGAACAAGACATCAGGCAGTCTTGATAAAGGGAAGAATATATATAAAGATACAATCAAGAAAAAGTAGCATTTGGGAAAATTAAGTCATTCCATCTGGCTAAAGCAGAAAACACAGCAAGTAAAATGTGTAGAAGTCAAGCTGGAGAGGCATGAGGCACTAGATCAGTAGAGAAGACCAAGAATTAGCTTTGTACTGCTTCACTAACTTGCAGAGGTGGGGAATCAGCATATTATCCCTATCCTACATTAACCTCCTTTCATGTTCAAACTAACAGACAGAAAAAGCTACTAAAAGAAAAAGAGCCTAGCAAGTCTCTTACAAATTCAGATTTAATATTCTCTCTCTAGCTCCATAAAATTTTGACACCTGGGGCTAGATCAATACTGCAGTAGTTAAGAGCAGTTGCTGCTCTTTCAGAGAACCTAGGTTTGGTTGCCAGCACCCTTATGACAGCTCACCATTTTAACTCCAGTTCCTGGGCATTTAATGCCATCTTCTGGCCTCCATGAGCAGCAGGCACACATATGGTGCACATATATACATGCAGGCAAAACACTCAGACGTGAAATAAAAATAAGTAAATAAATAAATAAAAGATTTGACATCTGGGACCAACGATGCTTCACAATCCTGGAGACTCAAGTGATCCCCAGAACCCATGGTGGAAGGTGAGAACCAACTCCTGAAAGTTATCCTCTGGCCACACACAAGGGGCACATGCATGCCTATACTCATGTGCATGCACACACACAGCAAAAATAAATGAGTGAAATAGTTGAGTCATAAGGTAACTTTATTTTAAATTTCTTGAGGAACTTCCAAACTGGTTTCTATGATGGCTGTATTAATTTACACTCTCATCAGTAATGAATAAGTATCTTTCCATATCCTCTCCAATATTTGTTGTAAGATTTCTTGATGATAGCCTTTCTGACTGGGGTGAGGTGGTATCTCAAAGTTATTCTAATTTGCATTTCCCTGATGATCTTTCACTCTTAGACATATATCCAGAGAACTCTATACTTTACCATAGACATACTTGTACCCCATATCTATTGCTGTTCCATTCACTATAGCAACAAAATGGAGCCAATCTAGTTGTCCATCAACAGATGAATGGAAAATGAAAATTTGATACATACATAAAGTGGGGCATTATTTACCTCTAAAAAATGAGATCACAAAATCCACAAGGAAAATGGATGAATCGAGAATGTATTATATCAAGTGAGGTAACAATCTCAGAAAGAAAAAACAGCTTGCTTTCCTTCATGTGTGGATCCTAGCCTATAATGTATACATGTATATATGTAAACAAATGCACATGCAGGTATACTATAACATTTAGAAAGGAAAACAAGAAAGATTAATTTTTTAAAAGGCATGCTAATGAGTTCACTGTGTAAGTTCTTTGAATGCTGTCTTATAACACATTTTCAACTCAAAATAAGTCCTTAAATGGGCAGTGTTCACATGCGATTCCATGAGGGGAAATCTTAATTTAAACTACATTTTTCATTGTTTGAATATATCTGTACACTATAGCTTTTTGTAGGTACTAATGAACTTAATGTATTTTATTCTTCAAAAACTAATAATTTAAATAAAAAAAAGTATGATTTTTTAAAAGCGATTTGCCTATTATGTCTCAGGACTTTGCCATGCAGGGATCCCTGCCCCTGCACAGTATGACTGCTTCAATACATGAACTGAGCACTCACCTCACATTTTGCTTTGCTCTTAGTGTTAAGTCTCCAAGTATGAAAGCTCAGCCAACACAGAGAGAGAGGCAGAACAGAAAATTCTCAATCAAGGAAACTTCCTTATGACTATTTCTGTGAAAAATGCTAATTTTCAGATCTAAAAAAGATATGCAACATACACCTTGTTCACAAGAAGCTAACATTTAGCCCAGATGTCAAAGATGAACAATCTATGCATAATATTGTTTCGGGGTTTTTTGTTGTTTTGTTTTTTTTTTTAACTTTCAAGACAGGGTCTACCTGTAGCTCCAGCTGGCCTGGAACTCGCTATATAGATCTGACCAGCCTCTAACTCACAGAGATCCATCTGCTTCTGCCTCCCAAGTGCTGGGATTAAAGGTGTGCACCACCACACCCAGCCAATGCATAATATTGTAATAGCATTATTTACTTTCATAATAAAGCACCAACTTGGGTAACACATATAATTAGAAAATGGGGCAATAATACTAAGGTACTAACTATATAACCAACAAGTCCCAGAAGAGTTAGAGAAGGGAAAGGCCAATATTGACTGGTATTATCAAAGGTCACTATTGTTAATACTCCTACTGTTTGGCATTCAGTAGATATTTCTTTTGGCCAAGTTCAGTCCTTAGAAGGGAAACCTAGGCAGAAGCTTCTGACAGGCCACAATTATCTACTCCCCATTCATTCCTTTGCCAGTCCCCTTCCATAAACACTGTGATTTTCCACAGTCTGCTGTGCCTACAAGACAGTCCCCAAATGGGAGCCCTGAGCTTTTTACCTTTTCTCTATGGCTGGATGCTGAAGGGATGAGACAAGGAACAATGACTGCCCTTCTGCTACACAATCTAGGTCTCAACAAGCAGAAGTTTAACAACTGGCCAACCAACCTTGCCAATGGTAAAGAATTCTAAATGACACTCCACAGACCATTTTAACAGATGTTAAGTGGGAAAATCCCATTTTCACTTTTTCCACTCTTTCCCCTACCTTCCCTACACACATCTCAACTTTATCAAAGTTTCCACAGGCAACTTTTTCAGGCAACGGGCTTTCCAACCACATAAGCCACCTAAAACCCAAAACGCAGGTCACCACCCAGGCACTTTGCCCAAATTTTTAGAAGAAAGGAAATAATAATGCCCTACCTCAACCATAAACTGTTCCAAGAAAGAGTTTTCTTCAAAGGGCTCTGTCTTCAATCGGCCTGTAATCAAGACAAGATAGAGAAAGGAAAAATGAACCTAAGGATGAGCTTCCTACCTATCAGACTTAGTTAAGGAAGAAAGCCCAAGCCTTCTTGAGAAAGAAGTAAAAGATGTGACCAATCCAGAGAGCCATAGCCCAGTAGGAGAGGGGTTGAAGGTATGTGGATAAAAGGAGAAAATTTGGGACAATCAGCAATGATGGCAGGTTTGGTGGCAGCATATGCTCTAGAAGATTTTCATGGCACAAAGACAAAGGTCATGTGGAGTTTTTATTTTCAAATTAGAGCTATGTAACTTCCTAAACTCCTGAGTTCACAATGCATTAATGAAATTTTGTATAGCTTTTGGCCCTTTCTGAAGTCTTTTCTTATCACTGCCTAAAATATGTCTGGCCTTGGTTATAGCTTCTATTACCTACAAGGGCCCCAGCCAGGTACTTGAGGTAGAGAGTCAGGCCATATAGTATCAAATCTCCAGCTACAAAGTTCCTAGCACCCAAGCTGGAGGAAAAAAAAGTTTTATTTTTGTTTTCTGTTTGGGGATTTTTGCTTTCGTTTTGTTTTGTTTGAGACAGGATCTCTTTGTTTGTTTGTTTGTTTTTGGTTTTTTTAAGACAGGGGCTTCCTGTAGCCCCAGCTGGCCTGGAACTCACTACGTAGACCAGGCTGGCCTTGAGCTCACAAAGATCCACCTGCCTCTGCCTCCCGAGTACTGGGATTAAAGGCATGAGCCACTATGCCCAGTGAGACAGGTTCTCTTGTATCCCAGGCTAGCCTTGAAATTGCTGCATAGCCAAGTATAATCTTGAACTTCTGATCCTCATGCGTCCACCTCCTGAGTACTGAATCACATGCATGTGCTACCACTCTCAATATACGCAGTGCTCAAACCCAGGGCCTAATAGTTTGTTAGGCAGGCAAGCAATCAGTATATCAACTGATCACATCTCCAGCCCAAGAAATATTTTTAATACAAATGACAGCTGCCCCTTAAGGCCTTTTTTCTAAGACTGTTGAACTACGTGTACCTCTCCCAACCCAATTCCTCCAAAGATACCCTCTCACCTCGGCTCAGCATAGCTCCGCTCTCTCGGTAGTCCTGGATCTCTAGGTCCTTCATCCGAAGTAATGTTGTTAGCTCTCTCACATGACACTGCAAAGCCAGGCTCATGCCCATCAGAGGACGAACCAAATGTTGAGAGACCTTTGATAGAAAAGAGGTATCAGCCAGGAGTGGTGGCACACACCTTTAATCTTAGCACTCGGGAGGCAGAGGCAGGTGGATCTCTGTGAGTTCAAAGCCAGCCTGGTCTACATAGTGAGTTCCAGGCTATCTGGGGCTACAGGAAGACCCTGTTTCAAAAAAGATTAAAAAAAAAAAAGAAAAAAAGAGTTCATGATAATTGAGGAAAGGGAAGTGCTGACTCAACACTCAGCAGAGGCTAAGACATAAAAGCAGAAGACTCAGGTAATCCTGGAGAAAGAAGCTACGGCTGAAACTGCACACCAACTAAAGTGAAAGGGATCAACAGAAAGTGGATCACTTTGAAGGACGAATAAGATTTAGATATGCATTAAGAGCCATTTCAGGGCTGATGAGGCCAGAGTTTCAACTTATTCCCATAATACAGCAGTTTGAAATTATTATAATAGAAGTATGCCAGTTACCAAGAGACTAGCATAGGGAGAAATTAACCAACCCACTTCACACATCTTGCTTTTAACAAGAGGTAGAAGGATGCAAGCATGACTATATTACAATGCTGCTAAGCTGCGCTCTCATATGATAATGTATAGCTATACAGAAGAATCATTTAATTCACCTATGCAAGGCACCTGTTAGCCTGTCAAAGAAAAGAACTAAAATCAATCATCTGTTTGTGGTGAGAGAATGTCATCAGAGTTTCTTTTGCTTACACCAAGGACATAAACTAAAGGAGGTATTAAAAAGAGACGTCCTAGATCAGGTGTCAGCAAGCTTTTTTCAGAAGGAGCCAGATAGTCAATATTTTCAAAGTAGTAGGGGCTGATAGAGTCTCTGACCCTACTACTCAGCATTGCTGTTGTGACAGGAGAAAGCAGCCACAGACAATATGTAAACAAATGAGGTGGCTGTGTTCCAATATAACTTTACAAAAACAGGTGACAAGTCAGATTTTGCCTGTTGGCCATAGCATGTTAACCCCTGTCTAGATCTAAAAAGGGAACACTTTAGACAAAATACCCCAACATGGGCTCGAAACAAGAAAAAGGTTCTGGAGTATCCTGTAGATGAGCCAGCCTGACTCCTCTACATCAGGATCAGAAGTGTTGATTCTCCAGACATGTTTTCACTTTCTATTAATTCTCTAGGTAAAAGTTACTACTCAAAACTCAACTTGTATTGCAGTTCAAATTATGAAAAATACTTTTTTCTATATTTCTCAAAATCTGATCAGAAGGCTAGGCATAGTGGCACCAGCCTTTAATTCCAGCACTTGGGAGGCAGAAGCAGGTGAATCTCTGTAAGTCTGAGGTCAGTCTGGTATAGAGTTCCAGGCTAATCAGGACTACAGAGTGAGACCCTGTCTCAAAATACCAAAAAGATTGATCAGAAGCTGGGCATGGTGGCACATGCCTTTAATTCCAGCACTCAGGAGACAGAGGTAGGCAGATCTCTGTGAGATCAAGGCCAGCCTGGTCTACATAGTGAGTTCCAGCCAGCTAGGGCAACAGGGAGACCCTCTCTCAAAAAGAATTTGATCAGAGACAAAAGACTGACTACAGTGATGTAGTAACCAGATAACACATAGGGTAGTGGCAGCTTTTGTACCAGGACCCAAGAAATGCAGGTGTCCTGGCACAGGGGAGAAGGCCAGAGTCTGGTATAGCTGTAGATTACTGTCACTTCTTTCTGTCACATGGCACATTCCAACCTCCTATTGCCTCCTGACCCAGGTCCTGGGGAAGGACTTAAGCTTCCAGAAAGTACTCAGAATGTGTGGCTACAAGATGTATCTGGGGCCTGTGAGATGGCTCAGCAGGTTAAGGCACTTGCTTCCAAGCCTAACAACCTGAGTTCAATCCCTGGGAAGTGGAAGGAAATTATTGACTCTTGCAAATTGTCCTCTGACCTCCACATGCACACTTGGGACATGCACACACATGTATACACACACACAAATGTAATGCAGTTTAAAAATAAGTATTAAAAAGTATCTACTCTAGGTCCAACCCTCTTTCCTAGGAATTGTTTTGTTCAGTTTGGTCCTGGTCAAGGTGGATCAGGAAGAAAACAGGCTAATACTTGTATGAAACCCAGTAGAGGTTTGGCGGATTGACCTGAAGATAATTATCATTGCTAACCAAGCAGCCACACTGGCCAATTGGTGGTACCCCTCAAATAACAGAAACTCCTAAAGTTAATAACCAGCCTCTCACCATGGTGGGTAGGGGGGCACCATCTTTGAGGTTCTAAATATAAAACATGAAACATGACAAGGAATGGTTTTTAACCAGTGCCATGTCTGATGAAATAGGATACTGCAATACCAAGGAACTGAAATGATCTGTTGGACTGTGATGTTTTTATCAGTAAATAGTTCAGCTGTTCAAATAATTTCATGTCACTCTAAGTTATTGAGCTATAATTAATTTCTTTTTAAAAATATTTTAATTATTATGTTAATTTATATGAGTATATTGCCTGCATGTATGTGCACCCGTGCCATGTGATGCCTGTGGAAGTCAAAAGAGGGCGTCAGATCCCATGGAAATGGAGTTATAGACAGTTGTTAGCTGACATGTGGGTCCTGGGAATCGAACCTGGGTCCTCTTAACCACTGAGTCATCTCTCTAGCCCCCGAGCTATAATTAATTTCAAAGGTAGATGAATACTAAAATGATTCCCTTTAGACCAGAGAGCCTTGCTATGTTCTCAAACTTAGATGAATATTGGTTAGAAATCTCCAAAATATGATTGATGGCTGTAAGAAAAACTGGTGCAAGAAATAAAAGATGTACAAATGTGTAAAAAGATCAACGAACCTCCAAAGACAAAAACAAAGAAAAACTGTGCAGTGCTTTATGTAAGGGATACTCCCTTTAATTCACTATTAAGAGATGCCACTAACAAGTCAATTCAGCCAATACCCACTGAGGGCCTAGTCTGTGCTCTGAGGCCTCTGCCTTCAAAGAGCTCCAAAATAGGTAGGAAGTGAAGTGGATACAGCAGATGTTGCCATTCTTCACCATAGGGGGAAACACTTTGAATTCCACCTCTCAAAGTCTTCTGATTTCCTACAGAAAAGTTCCCAAGTCCTAAGTAGGAGAGGTGGCCCCAGATGAGTCACATTAGATAATACAGTGGCCGGGCACAGTGGTGCATGCCTGTAGTCCCAGCACTTTGAAGGCAGAAGCAAGTAAATCTCTGTGAGTTCAAGGTCAGCCTGGTCTACATAGTGAGTTCCAGGCCAGCTGAGGCTTCAGGGAGACTCTGTCTCAAAAAAAAAAAATTATATATATATATAAATCCTAGCTTTTCCCACATCTCAATATGAAAATAGCTTCACCTCAACTGCTTTTACAGTCTTTATCTTTTTTTTAACTTTTTAAAGTATTTTATTTATTATTTTTATGTGTATGTGTATATTGCCTGCATGTAGGTGAGTGCACCCGTGTCCTGCAATGCCCACTGAGGACAGAAGAGGCTGTTGGATTCCCTGGAACTGGAGTTATGGACAGTTGTTAGCTGCCATGTGGGTGCTGGGATTCAAACCTAGGTCTTCTGCAAGAACAGTCAGTGTTCTTAACCGCTGAGCCATAAATGTGTGTGCGGGGTAGGGGGACACATTTGCTCTCACAGTCTACTATAATTTTTTTTTTTGGTCTTTTTGAGACAGGGTCTCACTGTAGCCCCAGCTGTCCTGGAACTCACTATGTAGACCAGGCTGGCCTTGAACTCACAGAGATCTGTCTGCCTCTGCCTCCCGAGTGCTGGGATTAAAGGCATGTGCCACCACGCCTGGCTTGTCCACTATAATTCTAATGTAATGTTGCACATATTCTCACAAGTTCATAGTACTGTTGTAATTAGCATCTCCGTTTTACAAATGAAGAAACTAGGTCATAAAAATCCAGTACTTATTCAAGGTAATGTAAATAATCTAAAAGTAGTAGAGTTGATTACAAATTTGTGCACTGTTTCCAAAGCTTGTGCTCTTCCTACCACTAAGAAGGTTTGGGATATGACTCCTAGGGGTCATAAAACAGCCAGTCTCGGGGCTGGAGAGATGACTCAGTGGTTAAGAGCTGTGGCTGTTCTTGCAGAAGATCAGAATTCAAATCCCAGCACCCATATGGCAGCTAACAACCATCTGTAACTCCAGTTCCAGAGAATTCAATGCCCTCTTCTGTCCTCTGTAGGCATTGCATGACACGGGTGTACTTACATACTTGCAGGCATAACACTCATGTACATAAAAATAATAATATTTTTTGGTCTTTTTGAGACAGGGTCTCCCTGTAGCCCCAGCTGTCCTGGAACTCACTATGTAGACCAGGCTGGCCTTGAACTCACAGAGATCTGCCTGCCTCTGCCTCCCAAGTGCTGGGACACAGGCATGCACCACCATGCCCACTTACAATAATTTTTTCTAAAGAATGACCCTGGTGGTGGTGGTGCCAACTGATAGGCTATGCTGACAAGGCAGAGGCAGGAGGATCTGGAGTTTAAGGACAGCTTGAGCTACACATTTTGGGACTAGAGAGATGGCTTAGTGATTAAGAGCACTGACTGCTCTTGCAGAGGACCCAGGTTTGAGTCTCAGCACCACATGACAGCTAACGACTGTCCGAAACACCAGTTCCAGGGGATCTGATGCCCTCTTCTGACTTCCACAAGCACTGCATGACATGGCATGACATGGGTGCACTTATATACACTTATACACTCATACGGATAAGATAAATAATTTTTTTAAAAGAGTGACAAGCGGGGTGTGATGGCACCTGCCTTTAAGCCCCAGCACTTGGGAGGCAGAGGCAGGCTAATATCTGTAAGTTCAAGGGCAGCATGGCCTACATAGTGAGTTCCAGGCCACAGGAAGACCCTGTCATAAAAAATATACATATATGTATTATCAAGAATTATATAGAACCTGGGCACAATGATAAACAACTGTAATCTCAGCACTTGGGAGACTGAAAGAGAAGAATCAAAAGTTT